GACATGTACGAAATATGGTTCACAACCACGCCTTCTTCCAATATAACGCTATTTTGAATTCCATCTGATGCCTTCTCTGTATAATATATACATTAKGAACCAATGATGATAGCGGAATAAAAATTTACACAAATACGGTATTTGAGCTGAGGTATCCCTTGTGGAAAAATTGTCGTGATCGGACTATAACTTTTCAAGGTCCCTAATATCGAAACCGAAGAACTCAGTGCCTAACCTAACCTAACCTAACCTAATTTTTCACCGAAAATATCGGCAAATCTCTCAGATATTTTCATGTAATTCAGAAGGCATACGCTCGCAATAAAGTTGCTAATTACGGTATATATCGTCAGCTATATGGTTACATATACCAAAGTGATCAGGGTGACTAGTAGAGTTGATATCCGGACGTCTGCCTATCCGTCCGTGTAAGCTGTAACTTGAGTAAAAATTGAGATATCTTAATGAAACTTGGCATGCGAGAGTATAAAATGTTCGGTGACACCCGAGCTTGGCCCTTCCTTACTTGTTTTATATGAAGTTTTTACATTTCTTGAGAGCTGGATACTAAGCATAAAGTATGAACTGGCAAGCTAAATGAAGAAAGTTGTATGTGAATCGGTCATATGCTTATACACATATACATTAGTGTAGGATGATTTACAGTGAGTTGAAAACACAGGAAAATCGCATATGGGGAAATTATTCTGAGCATCATTCTGAACAACTTTGCCTAACAGACTATGGATCTATCGATTTTTAAGGCAAAGGTTGTTAGATATCATAAAAATTTGTTCGTGAGTTTTTGAGATATCTGAGTGAAATTTAATACTTAGGTGTTTTTTGAAATTATAATATTTTGATTATTTATAGGATTCGGATATATGTATATCAATTATCCATACAACCTATCATTCAGGTTTAACAAATATCGCCACGAAACCGGTTTTGTTCAGAATGGTACCTCGAATATTTGCCGCATATGCGATTTTATAGAAAACTCGACTCGATCTAATGAACATAGGCATCTATTCTATCTATCTATTATAACATGAAAACTTAGGAAGTTCAAAAAATGGCGCTGGAAGTGCTCTCTTGAAAGTAGTCCACTACTTTGTTATCTTTATTTGCTATATAAGTAGATATCACTACGGTAAAGTTATTAGGAATCGTAAAGAATTTTACGACTTTTATTGATTCAAACGATTTTAGAATGTCCAACTAATCCGAATAAATATTCTATATATCACACATTTAAAATCATTTGTACCAAATTATTACAAAGGGGCTCTTTAAGAGAGCGGATGCTATATCTACTTATAGATACTGCAATACTTGAGACATTTTGAGACACCTTTGGCATTTTCTTGCATCTTCTAACCTGACGAACCCCTAGCCTACATATCGAGAGGATAAGAATCGACGAATAGTCGTCCATAAGTACATATGTATACATATTAAAGCTGAGGATAGTTTGACTTCCAGTAAAGAGCATATTAGTTATCCCAAAGATATTCCTCAATATGCTTTATTGATACCTTTCGATAAATTTAAGCATTGTAGGTAAAGACCTAGCAACGAGGGGTGGAATAGAAAAGTTGTTTTGCACCAGATAGACCTTTTTGGTTAAATTTTGTGTTTTTTCTAAAATATTTTTATTGATAATACCACTCAAATTCAAGTATTCAAATTTCCGAACATAATGAAACTTTCGTTTGAAACAGAGTGTAATTGCAACCATGGAAAATAGAAGGAATTTTGTATTTCCAAGCAGTGAACTGCTGCGAGAAATAAAACCAAATCAAGCGATCCAAGCACGATCCTTTCATTTTTTCTCGACGCCCCTTGTCAGCAAAAAATTTGTACGATAAAAGAGTCCTCGGGTGAACACAGTCTTACATGAATTTTACTACGGCTTTTATAAGGATATAAAAATTTATTCTAGATGGCATCTTGTAAAGTTCAGTGTTTTAAATTTAATAAGTGTAAGCGTGATAACTGTATCGCACTATATAAAAATATAAGAGGTGGCCTTGTGATCCTTGAATTGAAAGAGCGGGAAACCTCTAACAACAAACAATTAGAGACGGTAAATAAACATGCACTTAGGTTCGCGAGTTTGTACGTATATATATACGTGCGATATTTAAGCATCAGGGGGTCCTAGGGTATGAGTCACTAGACCAGACATTGGTAGTGAGACTGACCTAACCAAATCTATATATTGCACTTATTTAATGAGTTTATGGCAAAAAAATATGTATACTTCACAATATAGAATGACAAGTTTTAACAAGAAAACCTAACCTAGATAATTTATAGGCTTCTCATCACTAACGTAAGAGCCCCTTGGTTGAATACACTAACTGCAACTACATATCGTGATTTCAATTCATTTAATATGCATAAACAACTACATAACTGAAATTGCAACAAAACAAAAGTTTTTACAACAAATTATAATTTATTGCTCAATTAGTGCAAATAATTGTGAAGCAGCCGCACGTCACTCAACCAATGCCGTCTGCTGCGTCGCGTCGTCACAGTGGCGATGAAATATTGCCAAACGTTGCAGCAATAAATAAATGAAAACTACAACAACAACAACAAAGGACAACTTGAACACACTGATCGTGACGAAAATATTGTGCAACTTGTGTAAAATAAATGAAAGCTCATATAAATTAATAACGCGCACAACGCACACCACCACCCATTCCCTTCGCATAAATATGTTTGCAGTCATAAAGCCACACCAACACTCAAATGTATATCTATATTAAACCCATTGAAATTTAATGTTATTTTTATGTTGCAGGGAAAATGGTGATGTTCTATGAAAGCGGTAATAAATTCGTAATTTGTATGCCATACGAAGTAAAACAAAACAAATGTAAATAATATTAAATAAACACGCAATAAACTGAATTTGTAAATATAAAACGGAAAAAATTACAGCGCAGCCGTGCGTGAAAAAACAACACAAACAACTAATTGTAATAGCAACAGCAAAAAGGTGAAATAAGCGCATAGCAATTGCTAATTAAAACACATTAATCAAGTGCAGCGGCAGAAAAAATACCGTTATTGCAAATTTGCTGCAAACAACGTGGCAGCTTGCAACAAAGCGCGTTGCATTTATCACACGCATGCGCATGCGCCATCAACACTCTAATAACAAGCGTGCAACAACTGTTGTCTTGTCGTTGAACGGTTACATTTCGCAAGGCGAGAGCAACAGCAGCAAGTGGTAGCAGTGAAAAATAGCATAGCAGCAGGCAAGAACACACGCACACACTCGTGTTTCTCGTACGCGTGCGCATACTTCGGTTCTCGCGCTCACTTGCGTTGCTCATCGTGCTCACCAGACAGTATAGTGTATTTTTGTTACTGATACTTATACGCAAAGAGTTGCCACCCATTTGGTAGGCCGCTACAACTAGTAAATTTCTAGGTTATAAATATTCATCGTTTCGTCCAGTGTCTGCAGCCAAAGCCTCAAAGTGGATTTAACAAACTACAATAAATTGCTGCAATCCAGCAATCAATATTTGCGGCCAGATTATCTGGCCGCACCGAATGCGGTAAGTACATACATGCGTTATTAACTATAATTCGGATGGAAAAGAAATATTTTATAAATATTGAAATTTGTCTCACTCGCTCTCTCTTTAATACCCTCGCAATTTGAAAACATCAAAGGCGGGAAGTGCTTTCAGGTGTGGCAAAAGCTTATATTCAACAAGTAAGGAACGGCTAAGTTCGGGTGTCACCGAACATTTTATACTCTCGCATGATAAAGTGATAATCGAGATTTCAGGCGTGGTTGTGAACCGATTTCACCCATATTTGGTACATGTCATCAGGGTGCTAAGAAAATATTATACACCTAATTTCATTGAAATCGGTAGAGTACTTCCTGAGATATAGTTTTTGGTCCATTAGTGGGCGACGCCACGCCCATTTTCAATTTTTGAAAAAAGCCTGGATGCAGCTTCCTTCTGACATTTCTTCCGTAAGATTTAGTGTTTCTGACGTTTTTTGTTAGTCGGTTAACGCACTTTTAGTGATTTTCAACCTAACCTTTGTATGGGAGGTGGGCGTGGTTATTATCCGATTTCTTCCGTTTTTCAACTGTATATGGAAATGCCTAAAAGAAACAACTCTATACAGTTTGATTGACATAGCCAAAGTAGTTTTCGAGATATGTACAAAAAAGTTAGTGGGAGGCGGGGCCACGCCCACTTTTCCAAATGAATTACGTCCAAATATGCTCCTCCCTAATGCGATCCTTTGTGCCAAATTTCATTTTAATACCTTTATTTATGGCTTAGTTATGACACTTTATAGGTTTTCGGTTTCCGCCATTTTGTGGGCGTGGCAGTGGGCCCATCTTCGAACTTCACCTTCTTACGGATCCAATAAATACGTGTACCAAGTTTCATCATGATATCTCAATTTTTACTCAAGTTACAGCTTGCACGGATGGACGGACAGACGGACAGACGGGCGGACGAACAGACAGACATCCGGATTTCAACTTTACTCGTCACCCTGATCACTTTGGTATATATAACCGTATATCTGACTCTTTTAGTTTTAGGACTTACAAACAACCGTTATATGAACAAAACTGTAATACTCTCTTTAGCAACTTTGTTGCGAGAGTATAAAAATTATATAACGTCAAAAAACAAATATCATATGGAATTCAAAAATGTTACATATGGGTAGTAAGCGTATTGTAGACCGTTTTCACAAATTTATTAAACGGTTTTATAACACCATCCACCAAATTTGGTTAAAATTGATCGAGCAGCTACTGAGATAGTGGCTTTCACCCAAAGGTGGACGGAACACGAACAACCTAGAATGTCTCATAAATTTGGAGACTGAACATTTGCGTCGGAGTTTTATAATTTTTTGGCATGACGTTTTTTAATAGACCGGAATAATAAATAAATCATTGATGACGGGTAGCAGAAGAACTGAGATTCAGCCTTAGCCTGTGGACTTTACTTGACGAAAATGCCGTTTTAAGATTTTCTTAATGTCTCACTTTTGAAGGCAAATGATCAAAAACTACAAAAGAAACTTGTATGATTTTTAAAAATGGTCTAAAGACAACTTCTCTGTCTTCCTTTCCCTGAAATTAAAATGGGTTAATCGGCTTATAAGAAACGAATATTTTCACGGAAGTCATATGTGTTACACTTGCCATAGCAAGTGGTATAACCGATTGATTTCGAGCATAATTTAAAAAGTTCCATGTCTTAATAGCAAAATGTACACCAGTAATCCTAGGAACATTGATGACCCCAAGAGAAATATCCGTGGGTAAATTTTCGGCTCTAGTTTTTAAAGTTTTCCAAAGTCCTCAATTTAATATAAAAAATGACGCCTTCGGCACATAAAAACCTTATTCCCTTCTCTTATATAAAACACTCTTAAATCAAGTCTAATATAATTCTATTTAGTAACATTGTGTGCTTGAATATGAAAACACGTCAATTAATAATTCAATCACAATTTGATTGATTGTGAGGTCAGTTTTAATCAATTGACTGACGTTTGCTATTTACGTGACTCAAATGGTTACTAATTTTTAAATGTTATTCATTTCATTAGATATGGCTAGCGACGTTAACCATAATTTTACTAAGCTTCAACAAAACTACAGAAATATTTACACACACATTAGTGGAAAACTGTAGTGTGAATCACTTTAGAAATAAAATATTTTAAAAGAGGAAACTGATCTTTATAAAAAGCTGCCGCAAAAATTAGCAACTGGTAACACTAGTCAACACTGTTCTTACGAAATTTGTAAGGATTTTTATTTATGTTTGTGTACCTTCATTGACAATAGGTCTTTTTTAAATAACTTCTTTTAAAAGACTGCATATCTATTGCAATCAACTACCTTATACTATAAATAGGTTGGTTACATCGCAAACGTGTCACGATCACAAAAGTTTTTGTCATGTCTATGGAAAATTAACTCTATACCTATGTTTTGAACTGAACCATGGATCATGTAAGTGACTTTTATTTTCCTTTGACTGAAACACAAATTCATCCCTTCTTAGTCATCTCCACTCACCATGAATGTGGGATCGGAATTCGTATGATTAAGGATGTGCAAAGAGACCCAATTACAGTACCCTTTTTGAAAAAAAAAAGTCTGCTTTATTGGGACGAGTCGGTCAAGATCGCATTTCATACCCAAAATATTCACCATATCACTTTTCTAATATTTTCAGCAGTTTAAAATGTCGCAGGCCGACCAGAACGAGGTATGTTTTCAACGACTGTACCATCCGTAGACTTGGGTTTTTACGTAAACCTTTTGCAGCATTCGTAATGATACCGCACACGAAATTTAGTTGGACACACAAAATTGGAGGCAAATAATTTTATCCATTGTAAAAATCTCAACGCATTACTGAGGTGTACCGGCTTAGTAAACAAACTGGTTGACAAATTGCGCTTATATTAGGCGTAGAAAAAAAGAACAGTCCTATTACATTAGCATAATACATTTTTTGAAATAACGTTTACCCGGGAAATTTAAATACAATTTATTCTTTGTCACAATGTACATCTGAAAGAAAAATTCCTCAAACTCAGGGAGGCAAAAAGTAAGGAATGTTGGTAGATCCACATATGTGGCGAGTTATAAAGAACCTCAGCAGGAAATGATTTGTGAACGTTGTCCAAATTTTTCTAAGAAACCATAAATCAGAAAATTACAAAAACTAAGTAAATGAACTTGTAATGTCATTGAAAACTATGGCATGTATTATGTCCTTAGAAATACGTCTCATCTGGATTTCTTTTAGGCAAATGTGGATGCTGTGAGTGACGAACAAAGCGAGATAAGAAAATATATGTCTTGATGTCTGAAGAAAACCTAATGTGTCAATATATTTTAATTCACATATTATTGATAAGTGGCCTTAGTATTGCATTGGCGCAATAATTATTCACATCATTCTCTAGATTTTTACTAAATTTTATTGATTTTCATTTAAAATATTTTCATAAAAATAAATTTTTCTTCTAAACTCATGATTACTCCAATACTCGAAGTATACTGCATGATTTGACTTTTGTATCTACTATATACATATACGAATAATAGTAATACATAATACTCATAAATTGGGGACTGGCTACTCAGTTGCCTGTGATTAGCAGCTGGTAACCTTGTAAAATATATGTAAATTGCAGTATTATTACTGCAGCTAACTTGAAAAAAAAAATTGCAGTAGTTTTCTAAATAAAATTGCTTGGGATCAAAAATTAGGAAATATCAAGAATATAACCTTTATTTGGCGGCAACTATGCTATGGCTAATTTCATAAAATAATTATTTTAATTACTTTTAAGTTAAGGTGTTTGACAACATAAATTAAGAAATATCAAATAATATAATAACACAGTATTTCGGCTATATTAAAACATATAAATAATATTACTGAAAAACTATTCAATACTTTGAAATAGTAATAATTTTGGAGTTTTTTCTCCATAGCTCACCTGTTGGGCCGCCTTTCAGCCTGTCTATTTATAAAAATATGTCATGTACGCTTATAGTCTCAAAAGTCAAATTCAACGGCAATAAATATTAATTTCGTTGAACAGAGTAAAAAACATAAGCTGAAAACATTTCTATTGACAATTATTAGACGCTGGCGCCATAATGCCGCTCATTTTGTCCATTCAAATGCGCCCAAACAAAAGTTGCACAATGTAATAAAGCCGCAGTAAAATCAACTTGAAAGCAATAACAAATGAACAACGTAAAATCGGACAATGAATGCAAGCACATACATACCGACAAAATAGCCATATAAACACTTCAAAATGAACAAAATATTGAAAGCTATTAAAAACCCTTTCAAAGCAGCTAAACACTATAAAAATGGGTAGCACATTGCGGCTGTCGAGCGAACAATCAAACTCATTCACACACACAGCAACAATAGCAATAACAGTGTTGTAACTGCAGTTGAATGGAAAAAACTCAAGCAATTTAACGATCTTTTCACCATACAATATATCACAAGTCCACAAATTTTTCCAAGCACATGTAAATATGTAGATGAATTGCGGTTTGTTTGCGCACCAGCGCTTATGTGTGTATTTGTGTATGTGTGGACAACTAATTGTTATGCGCTTGGACTTAGAGGACAATCAATCTCAATCACATCAATTACAAGCGATTTCATAGCGAGTTATATTGCCACAAACGTACGACAATAATAAAAATAGCGTTGCACAAACACTCTTACATATGATACATCTCTACATCTTATAAAATAAAGCCTTAAAATGTGTATGTTACCTCACAGCTCAGCTAAATCTTAACCGATTTTATTCCGGTTTTTTGCAAAACATACCTTGAGCCCTCCTCTCCAACGTAGGATACCTTAAAAAATATTTTGCCTTATAAAGGCGCGACAATAAGCAAAAAAACCTCAAAAAT